ATCATCTATAGATCAGAACTTAATAAACATTAACACACAATTTAGAATTAGCATAGCATTCTATCACATTTATTTTTATGAACATTATTTATATACTTCTTATATTTTGTCTTGAATTCTAAGCCATTCCACAAAACCACTCCACAAACTGATATACACAAACTTTTAAGAGTGCTGCGTACACATGGTTGCATTAGATTACCCTACCCTCTCTAACTTTAAATAAACTTTGAATATTCTTTGGAAGCATATTGTTTCTAGCTTTAAACATCACCTGTGCAGTTTTAAATTGTACCAAAACCATAAATTTCCTAAGTTGTGATTTGAAAAAGAGTGGATTTGTATGTTCCCGATACCAAACATTGTGTATCATTCTTAATGCTCTTTTTTGCAGTGTACATATTTTTTGTAGAGAACTTTTATATTCGTTACCCCAGACTTCAACACAATACTCTAAACATGGCAGTAACATAGTACAGTGTAGTGTGCATAGTTTTGTTGTTCAAATTATGCCTAGTTTTTCCTAATATCCGAATACTTTTTACATCTTATTACACACATTTGATATGGTGTGATCCAAAATTACACCTAGAAACATATGTTGAAAAACTTGTTCAGTTTTTACATTACTAATTTCCAGCCTTACAGTTGTATTAATTTCTCTATTTCCAAAAAAACATAAATTTTGTCTTACTTAAATTTAAAGGTAATTGCTTTCTATCAAACCACAACTTCCAAAAGCTGTTTTAAATCATCCCCAGAACAAAAAATAGTTCTATCATCTGCAAATACAACAAAATGTAATACTTTTGTCACTCTAAATATATCATTAATATACAATATAAACAGTTTGGGACCCAGAACTGAGCCTTGTGGAACACCACATGTAATATCCAAGCATGAAGATTTAGACTGACCAATTTGTACATATTGCTGTCTATTATCAAGATAACTTTTTAGCCAGTTATGTACTGCTCCTGTCCCTCCATATCTTTCCATTTTGTATATTAGTAATTTATGATCAGTCATATTTTTCAAACAGGAGCCTGCAAAAGAAGACTTGACCGTATCAGAGAAGTTCCAGCTCGTCCTGGATGTKGCACAAAAAGCACAGGTACCTTCCTGTTTCTAACACGTGTCCAATCCATCCACAAACACGAGTAACGCTGACGCCTCTGCTCTCTGCAGAACCTCTTTGGGAAGATGGCTGACGTGTTGGAGAAGATAAAAAAGTAAAGTATTGGAGACTTTCTTTGCTTTACACCTCTGAGCACGTCTGCAGCACCGCATCCATTATTGAACCCCTGAACCTGTGTGTGTTTGTGTTGCAGCCTGTTCATGTGGGTGCAGCCTGAGAGCACCAGGAAGCTTTACATCTGCCTGTGGGTGGCTTTCATCTGCTCCTGCGTGCTGCCGTACAAGCTGCTGGGCTTCATGATGGGTACAAAGACTTATTATCACAAATGTTGTGTCCACTGTTGGCTCAGATCCTGCTGGATTCTGAACTAATAGCTCCAGTGTTGCGTGGTTAAAGCCATCTTTTGCTCCTCTCTGCAGGTGTTTACGCCGGCATCAAGTTCTTCATCATAGACTTCCTGTTTAAGAGCTGCCCGAAGCTCCGGGACAAGTACGACACRCCGTACATCGTGTGGAACAGCCTCCCCACGGACCCCCAGCTCAAAGAGAGGACCAACGCCACCGTGTCTCGGCGGGTGAGCAAACATCCTCCCGTAACTGTCCGACCATCGGAGCGTGTGCTGAGGGGGTCTCTGTAGTTGAACCCACCCACTGACGGCCCCTCATATAGAAGGAAGATCAATAAAACATCACATCCCAGTGTGTGTGTGTGTGTGTGTGTGTGTTGTGTGTGTGTGTGTCACAGGTGTGTTCTGTCGTTTCTCTCACAGCTTTCCAGCATTGAGAAGGTAGGAGCTTCTGGTGTGTCCCTTTGCTTCCAGGTGTCCCAATCCTCTGTGTGTGTGTGTGTGTGTGTGTGTGTGTGTGTGTGTGTGTGTGTGTGTGTGTGTGTGTGTGTGTGCGCGTGTGTAAAAGGATCATAAATGTCTTGTTTTGTCTTCAAGTTTAAAACCAGCAGAGACATTTCTGATCTACATATTTAGTTTTAGTTTAGTTAAATTCCTCGTTAGCTAATTTAAGCCCCGCCCCTTCCTTTAACAAACTCTATTTCACCCAGAAGTGTCGTCCCTTTAGTCTTTGTTGATTGCTGTAAACGTTAATGTAGAATAAACCAGATGTTTGTCCAAGAATGTAAACAAGTCAGTTTTTAGTTATTATTATTATTTTATTTATTTATTTATTTTTGGGAGGGGGTCTTGTTTCTGTGACGCTCTGGATGCTGAGTGAAGCCTGATGCACATTTAACATAAAACCATGATAGAAGTGGTTTTACCATCTGTCTGTATCTTTCTATCAGCAGGGATTACAGGAGCTTCATACAGAGATGTGACCTGTTTCTGCTCTTCTCTCTTTTTCCCTTTTGACTTTTTTGTTGTCTTGTTTTTGTTTGTTTTTTTTTCCTTCCTGTTTCTTCTCTGTCTCGTCTGCCTCCAGGTTCAGCCAGTCGTGTCACGGAGCAGCCTYGCCACCATCCCCTCCGGTGTGAGCCGGGAGGAGGAGACGGGTCGCTCCCACAGCACCAAGAAGGGCGTCTTTCACGAGATCTTCAACCTGCCGGAGTCAGAGCGCCCTCTGGCGGGTGAGTGGAGACATTACAGCTCTGAACATGGAGAATAAASCAGCTTCATCGGTAACAGTTTGGCTCTTTGTGCTGTTTTTTTTTTGTCCAGTGTGTGAAAACGGCTGGAGGTGCTGCCTGATCAACAGAGACAGGAAGATGCCCACAGATTACATCAGGAACGGAGTTCTTTACGTCACAGAGAAGTGAGTTCTCTGAAAAGTTCATTAAAGCTGATGAAGCAGGAGGCCTGATGTCTGACGGCTGCTCGTCTCTGTCTCTCAGTTACCTCTGCTTCGAGAGCTCCAGCTCCAAATCTGGCTCCTCCAAGAAAAACAAAGTCATCAAGCTGGTGGACATCACAGACATCCAGAAGGTATTACTGAAGGCAACCTACTGCACGAAGCTTAACTCAAAAACACAGCCTCTGATTGGCTCTGAGCCTTTTAATGAGGCCAGTTTACCATCAGAGACACCATAATCTGTAACTTTGTTCATTTGTTTTTATTTAATTATTTAAGAAACATTTTACTTTCATTTTATACTCTAATATATAAATATATATATATTTTGTCTAGTTAGCTAGTTATAAAGTAAAACATTTATTCTTCCCATTATCAGATTATTGAAGGTGGAGCTAGGTAAGGTTTTTAAAAAGAAACTAATAAAATATAGTCTGCAGTTAGTTAAAGTATTTAGCATTTATTTATTTACAGACAGACAGCTGTTATTAAAATGTTGTTTAACAAGCTCCACCTTAAATGGTCTGAAAACAACTTTCTGTTTTTCCTGTTTTTAAAACCTAAATGGAAAAATGAAAAATCAAACTGATAAAAAATCCACAGTGTTTTGATTTTTGCTTCGGTTAGCTAAATTCACAATAAAATAAAGTATACGGTTGTTTTAAAATGTAGATTGAAAAAGACAGAAATCATAAAGAAGAAGAGTTGTTCAGTTTAAAAACAGAAACTTATCTTAAACATATTGGCCGTGGCTTTTCATATTAAAGCAGTTTGTTTACCAGATCGTCAGCTCTTAATGACACTCATCACCTTGTCATTGCTTCAACCATTCAAATAAAAAAAAAAAACACTGTAGCCTTTTTCTTTTTTTTCTAATTTAGCTTTAAAAGAAAAAGGCTAAAAAACACTAGCCTGGTGAAAACCAGACCCTTGTYCTTGGCTTTGCTTCGTGCAGAGGCTCTGGACTCTCAGCTACAGAGAAGGGATTTCTTGCTGGAGGCGTGGCCTCTGTCGAAGTTTAAAACGATTGGATCTGATTTACCCAATCACWAACAGTTGGCCGCAACGTATGGAGCTCGCAGCTCCACCGTGAAGGAGGCTAAGCTAAGAAGCTAACCAGAAATTGCATATGCTGTTCGCTAATTGGTCCTGGTAAAGGTTAGGTTAGGTTAACCCCTGACTCTAACCAGAGCAGCAGGCAGGTGTGTGCGTTTAAGCTAACGTGATTGAATTTTCTCCTCCACAGTATAAAGTCTTATCAGTCCTGCCAGGAAGTGGGATGGGCATCTCTATAGCCACTCCTTCCACTCAGAAGGTTCAGTTTGTTGGACTTTCATTCAGCTTTTCTGCACTGGAAACAAAAAAACCCTTGTGCTAACCACTTCCTGTCTCCTCCAGCCGCTGGTGTTCGGTGCCATGATCCACAGAGACGAGGCGTTCGAGACAATCTTCACTCAGTACATGAAGATCCTGACCACCTCCAACCCACCGGCCAGCCCCGAGCTTTAGCCTGCCAAGCCTCCTCCACAGCGGGGCTGAACACAGAGGCAGAGAGCCTCCTCCTGGAGGACTCCTCCTTCCTCCGGCGGCGGGTGGGCGGYGGCCTCCTGAACCAGCGCCGGCCTCAGCAGGTGGAGGCTGCGCTGTAAAGGAGGAGATCCTGACGGAGGATCAGTTTTTATCACTTTAAAGGAGCCGGTTCTCCTCTAAGACCTCACAGACCAACAGACTCGCTGGATGACTTGTTCCTGTGTTTGCATGTGTGAGTGTGGCTGCACCGTTTTTTACTTTTATTTTCCCACCGGAGTGAAGTCTGATGAGGTAGGAAGACTTAAAAACTAAAAAAACTGGTAAAAAACAAACTTCATGTTAAACCGGTGCGTGTTAGCGTCTTTAAAACGTGTTTAATTAACTGTGAAAAGGCCTTTTTTTGTTAGTTGATTGTATCTTTTTTTTTTAAACGTGGGTCGTCACTACGTTCAGCCTCTGCTTCTGTGTTTGTTGGTGTGCACAGTCCGTGAAACGTGATGTAATTTTATGCCTTTTTGTTGTTATTTTTGTAACAAACGAGCCTTTTTTTAGTGGCGTAGCTGCCGGTTCTGAGACGAGCACAACACTGACTGCCATTAGACACAGCTGGGGCAGRACTGGGCTGAGTGTAGTTTTATTTACGTTGCTGGATTTTACCTGCAGTTGTTGAGATTTCTAACTTTTTAAACGCTTTCATCTCATCGCTGCTTTTCYAGTCCCGTGTTCACCCGGACGCTACAGTCTGACAGTATTTAAGARTCTAAGATGTAAACCTGCTTTATAGGGGGAATTAAAATCTGATGGAGGATTTATTTTCTAAAGCTGAGCTGATGAGCTACAGGAACACGCCTGCAGCTGAAGGTGGGTGAGCGAGCGTTTTTCCTCAGAAACAAAGCTGGATCTTTGTTCTCTCGCAGAACGGTGTAGAAAGTCGATGCCAAACCTCCGACTGTCCCTGCAGCACAGCCTGTTGTCCCACAGCACTGTTTAAAGGGAAACCTTGACATGGACTTTGATTAGCTGAGTCAGCACTTTAACCGTGTTTCAGRTCCTCCTGTAAGGCAGAGATCTGGGATTAGCTGCCCGTCAGAGCTGCCTTGATGTCGAGGCTTCTCTCGCCCACCGACCCGACTGGATATGAAGCTGACAGRAGTGCAGCTGACCAGTTCAAACATTCAGTTTTTTTCTTTTTACTGCCTTCGTAAACGTGGCTCTTTTTATTTTTCCTGTCAGACGCTGAAGCAGGCCGTCGTCTCTGTGCGATCACATGGTTTTATTTTGCCTTTTAGCACCTGATCTGTCTGTTTTTGCTCAGACGAAGCACAGAATGTATCATGTTTTTAACGTCTTAAACGTTCTGTTTTTATTTTTGCCAAATCTTTGATTTCCTGTCGGCCATGTTCTGCCTCATGTTTACAGAAAGCTATTGCAGGTGTTTTTGTTTTGTTTTAGTTTTGAAATGACCCAGTTTGAATTCCTGTCACTGTGGAGTGATGAAGACTGGAAACACGAGATCAGTTCAGTATTTTTAATGAGTCAAGTTCAGATTTTAGAAATCTGAAAGTAGCAAAGTGTTGAAGGAAGAGCGGACACGGCCGCTTTCAACCAACACCTCTGGTTTTGACCGTCTCTTCTCTAAGAAAGAAACAATCAGCAACGTAGACAAGATGTGGTCCAAACGTTTTTTTAATGGGGTTCTGTGTAAAAGTTATAAACAGTGTCTTACCTGTTGTAGATAGATTTTTACCTGACCTCACTTTGTTTTGCTAAATACCATGACAACATACAATATTATTGAATATCACTACAATCTGTCGGCATCTGCTGTGTGTATATACTGTATATATATAT